ATGAAAGAAAGAAAGGGAAGAAAGGAAGGAAAGAAAGGAAGAAAGAAAGAGAGAGAGGGAGTGAAGGAAAGAAGGAAGGAAGGAAAAGAGGAAGAAAGAAAGAAAGAAAGAAAGAAAGAGAGGGAAGGAAGGAAAAGAAAGAAAGGAAGAAAGAATGGAAGGAAGGAAGGAAGGAAGAGAGAGGGGGAAGGAAGGAAGGAAAAGGAAGAAAAAGAAAGAAAGGGGGAAGGAAGGGAAAGAAAGAAAGAAAGAAAGAAAGAAAGAAAGAAAGAAAGAAAGAAAGAAAGAAAGAAAGAAAGACCCATTTCTGCCTCCTCCCTCCTGGCTGCTTTCCAGGCACCCCATAATGGGAATGATCCTGGGGGGAGGGCAGGAGCAGGGCGTGGTCAAAACAGTCCAGGTGTGCTCTCTGGGGGGGGGACACCCTGGGATGGTGGGAATTTAGAAAGCAAACAGGGCAGGCAAAGGAGAATTCCTGTTCTGGGGAGATGAGGGTGGTCAAAAAGGTGGAAGTCTGGCTAGGTCAGTTCAAGCCCTCAATCTGATTTGAAGTTTTCTTTTTCTTTCTTTCTTTCTTTCTTTCTTTCTTTCTTTCTTTCTTTCTTTCTTTCTTTCTTTCTTTCTTTCTTTCTTTCTCCCTTTCTCCCTTTCTCCTCTCTCCCTCTTCATTCCTCTTTCCTTCTTTCCCTCATTCTCTCCCTTTCTTCTTTTTTCCCTCCATCTCCTTCCTTCCTCATTTTGCCTTTCTTTCTTTCTTTCTTTCTTTCTTTCTTTCTTTCTTTCTTTCTTTCTTTCTTTCTTTCTTTCCTTCCTTCCTTCCTTCTCTCTCCCTCTCTTCCTTCTCCCCTTTATCTCCTTCCTTCCTTTCTCTCTCTCCCTATCTCTTCATTCCTCCCTTCATCTCCTTCCTTCCCCCCCTCTCCCTCCCAGAATTCTCTGGCCAGAATTCTGGCTGGGGAATTCTGGGAGTGGAAGCCCACCCCTCTTAAAGCAGTCTGGCTGGGGAATTCTGCGAGTGCAAGCCCACCCCTCTTAAAGCAGGCTGGCTGGGGGATTCTGGGAGTGGAAGTCCACCCCTCTTAAAGCAGGCTGGCTGGGGGATTCTGGGAGTGGAAGTCCACCCCTCTTAAAGCAGGCTGGCTGGGGGATTCTGGGAGTGGAAGCCCACCCATCTTCCAACTGCCAAGACTGAGCCACACGGGACGAGAGAGGTGGAATGCAATCAAATGTGATCCAGTGATCCAGAGCGAAGGGGCTGCTAATCTCCCACACCCCCCCCCCCCGTTACAGTCATACAAAAGAAAGATCTCCACGGGCCCCACAGATGGTGGAAACATCCCTCCATCGTTTTTTGGCAGATCTCTCCTCTCCAGGATCAAATGAAATAATTTTCTGGGAG